TTCTTTCTTCTTAAAAATAAAATAAGTAAGATTTTATGCAAACCATATCAGTCTTAAAGGCAACATCCTAGTGGCAAAAAGTTATTAAAAATCTCCTAAGCCAAGTGTTCAAACTTAGGAAATTTTTCCAAAAATTTTAAACCGTCTAGTTTAATGGTTTAATGGTTTACATTTGTTTGAATAATTTTACTAGTTTTGAATGATTCAACTTCTCTATTAGTTTCAAGTACCTACTCAGCCCATTTATGTCATTGGATACTAGTTTGACTAGTCCAACTACTTAGTTTGGTCTAAATTTTAAAACAATAGTTCATACTTAGGAAAAATATGGTTTAAAAGGAATTAATGCTCTTGAAAATGGAAAGAAGAAATATGAGAGTAAAATTATGTTTAACTGTATATCTAATTTGTTCTGAAATACTATATATTTCTAGATCTTGCAAATAGGGTTGAATTGGGTGATTTTGGATTAAGTCACGATGGTTTTTGAGTTTATTAAACTGAGTCATTTTGGATTTTGGATTAAAGAGATGAACCATGACCCACCACACAAGTTTTGAGTTTGATCAAGTGGATCGAATTTTTAAAAAATAAAAATAAAAAAATAATTTTTAATATCTTTTATATTTCTCAAATCATTAATATTAATTATTAGTTAGACAAGAAAATCCGTTAAATTAAAATTAACTTTAATAATTCAATAAGGAATAGCCATTTAATATTATTTAATTTTCTTTTATACTTAAAAATTAAAATTAAAGCTATAATTAATCAAAATTTTAAAAAAGTTGGATCACTTCATATTGATCCAATTTGACCCTAACCCAATTTGGTCAGGTCTAAATAATTTCAATCTAAATCATATTAAATTCTAGATAAATACCTTATAGATTTATGACCCTACTCGTAATAGGTGAGTTGGGTTATATTCTTGGATTAAGTATAATTTGTCAAATCTATATATTTTAATCATTTACAAGCAAACAAAACTTGAATCATTCACTAATGTTAATTATCATTCTAACTCAAGCAGTTGTGACTTAGTTGGCAAGGGATTTGCTCCTCATGTTGTTGATCAAGGTTTGATTCTTTGAAGAGGTCAAAGAGGAATTAATTCCTTAGTTTAGTCTCGACGTGGATGGTCTGTCTTTAACTAGATTAAGGAGAGACTAGTCTTGATGATCATTGAAACAAAAAAAAAATGTTAATCATCATTCTAAATGAATGAGTCCAAGTGGGATTCTTGAAAATGATAGTTGGGCCAAAGACAGGAGGGAGTTGCATTGCTAGCTTGGTTTCACCATGTTTCTCTATCATTTAAACTAAAGAAATCA